TGCAGCATAGTGCTTTACATTTTAAATTTCAAGACCACTGATGGTTTTGTGTACAAAACACTCTAGAAAATCTGATTCCCTGTAGAGACCAGAATCTCAAAGAATAGCAAAAAACTCCCTTTCCCTGCCTGCACCTAAACCATAGGGACTGCTAAAGTTAGTCCCATTTTGATTTCATTTATACATGTGAGATCATTTCTGTAAACAATAAAAACAGAAGGAAGTTTTATTGGTTTCATGCTAGGCAAAGCAGGAACTATGACTGGTCGACCAATATATGATGACCATACCAGAATCCACTTTGAGGTGCCTGCTTGAGTATAAGGAGTCCATATTCAGTGCAAAAATTGGCCTGAAATTATTTTCAAGAACAGTTTCAGATGTAGATTTATTTGACCTACATCATAAAAAAGGGGATGAGTGCTGCAGTACCCTCCCTTGGGGAGGCTCTGTCAGTAGTTCTCTCCTAAACAGCTCCTGGACCTAACCAGAGTTCTTCTACAATGACAGAAAATGCTGTTCTGCCACCCTCCTTCTTCCCTGTCATCCATCACTGAATCACTAGCCTCTCCTCCTCCTCTGACACAAGCAGGTGACTTAGTATCTGCAAGTACTGTGCAACAGAAGAGTGAATTTCAGGCAGTTTATTAATCCTTTCAGAACTAACATGAAAGTTGCATGTTCCCTCCAACAAGGATCTGAGGTAGACACTTGTAAAGCAAGTGTCATGAAGTTATATGTATTAGAAGAAAGCAGGAATTCCAGATGTCCCCAAACAAACTGTAGCTATCCTAGCACATGTTAGATACACAAAGGTGGCAAGACCTTTCTGTAAGGCTACATCCTAGGCAGGCCTCCTAGCAAGCTTAAACATAGACTTCTTTCAAAAAACACACTACCATTCTTCTGAATTTAGTTTGGGTCTCTTCCCATTCCCATATATATTCTGCCTTCTCAACCTTCCTTAACTCTTTTTCTGGCTCAAAATCTTTATTCAATTTGTAACAAACTGTGATGTTTTATCCTAGTAATTTATGCCTAAAACATAATTCTGTACTGAATTTCCAGTCACACCCATCCTAATGATTTATCTGTGATTATCCCCAGTACCTTCTGTCAGATCCCTCAATAATTCATTAAAGAAAATATTCCATTTTAAATAAAAACTTTAAATTCAAAAATTTCACCTCAACCACCACAGTTTTTCTGACTACTGCTCCTAAAGCCTTTAAAAGACTTTAAAGCCCACTCAAATCGATCTCCCTCTCTCTCCATCTCTAGAAACCTCTCAGCTGTATTCAGAACTTTGCAGGATGCTGCCCTTACATTACTGTATTACAGAAACATTTTACTACTGTGTTATAGAATCAAAGAATCCTAGAAAGGCTTGGGTTGGAAGGGACTTTAAAGATCATCTAGTTCCAGTCCTCCGGATGAGGACCTTCCCCTAGACCAGATTGCTCAAAGCCCCATCCAACCTGGTCTTGGATTATATTATTTATTATTGTATTTATTTTATTTCTATTACTGTATGAAAGACAAAAAGGGCACTGGTATTGTTTGTGTATTTTTAAATTACTATTTTCCAAGCTGTCCTTATGAAGAGATGTTTCATACATGAATGCTTGGTCTGTATCCAGTAATTTTATAAAAGGTACCCATTTAATGACACCATTATCATGTCACTTAAAGTGCCTTATGTAAAATTCCTGGATTAGCACACTGGCCTTTCATCTCAGGGGTCCAAATGCAAAACTGAAAAATTACTTTCATGCTCTTAGCCTTGCAGACAGACATTACTAATTCTGACTACAATTTGGCTTAAGTGACCATTTTTCCTTGGGGGAGGGATAAGTGTTGATTAAAGCAGCATGTGATTTTGGGCCAGAAAAATAGATGGAATAAAGATGCAAGAGCATCTTGAAATTTTCATGCTCAGTCCTAGATTTGAGCAATCAAAAATCACATCTTCCTTTTCTCATCAATATTTCTTCCCTTTAAAAGACACTATATAATCTCTTCAAGAATTGCTGGAAAAATTATTCAGCTGCAATACATATTGACTATGTGCACAATGCCTTTTAACATCATCTGACCTAGTGTGTTATGAAGTTCACAGCTGTTGTGTAAAAAAACTACAGGTCTCTGTTTATATACCTTGCATACAACATCAAGTGCCTAATTCTTCTACTTACCATGTAACAAATCTAATAGACTTGTGAGTGTTTATATTGAAGAAATCTTTGGTCTTTGACTGTCAAACAATGTCTTGAATGCATTACAACCTTTCAAATCTAATTTTTTAAGTACTTTTAGAGAAGTATGAAGTTATTCACACAAAAGATAAAAACATTTACTCTATGTCTAGTCTATACATACTATAAATCTGGTTGTGATAGCACTCAATACACATAATTCCCCATGTTCATTAAGCATGTAATTTTCCCATCTGTGTTACAAGACTCATTGGAACCTAAACAAGACTCAGTAGCTTTAGTTAAAAATATATTACTTAAGAATAAACCACATCAACTGTGATAAGTACGTCACATCAGACTTCAAAACAGAAAGTATAAAATATCTTTGGACAAAATATATCAGACATTTTGAATGAAAATGAGAAAACCTAAGTGTTCAGGAAGTCGTCAGAACAATCAGATTAGCACACTGATAATGCAAAATTTTACCTTTTGTGAGATGGAAAAAGAAAGACTTGCAATTTTTGCAGTATTGTGATTAAACTAGACTTCTTAGACAATTACCTATTCCATGAATTTAAGAAGTAATTCTTTGTAATGACTGATATGCAAATACAGTATTTCACGAGCTAATACTTAAGCTTCTCTTGACTATGCAGTGTTAATGTAAAAATCCTACTTTTCTAGGTCTTTCAGGTGCAACAAAAAGTAGAAATTGCATCACTTAAGTCAAAGGTTCTAATGTCCATAAGAAACATGAACAAATTTACACATGCACATATGTCAGTCACCCTTACCAGCATGACTCTTTCCTGCCCACCTTCCTGCCTTCCCTTCCTCCAGTACTCTAGTTCTAGAAATTAAGGCAGTGCTACAGAAATAACAAAGCCCCTTCTGCAGAAAGAAAAGACACTTTCAGAAGGAATTCTACCTGCATAGATAGAACCATCACCAGCCTTAACAAGCCTATTAAATTTGGCACAGAGTCCTCAGTGAGGACACATGCCTTCAAGAATTTTTTGAAACAGTGTGCAACCCAATAGCTACCTAAGGCAACACCCTATGCTGCTTCCTCCTGCTGCTTCCATTAATTTTATTTTGGTCTTAAAAAGTGCATAGATAAAGAGAAGCAAAGCCAGTAACTGTTGGCAGCTAATTTGATAACAGCATGAAAAAAAATGAGAGAGAATGTGCAGAAAATTATCTTACTGTGAATTTGTCAAAAAACTCTTGTATTTTCTCAGACAGAATGATTATCTTTCAACATCAAAAAAATAAAAATCAATCCACTGAGATATATACTACAGTTAAAACTGAGTTTCCTAGCCTTCTGAATGCTAGATTGAGCAAAGTTACACCTCTCCCCTCCCACACAGCACCAAGTACTGCTGTGTGCATACCAGAGGAGTCTAACACAACTACACAGCACAAGAACAAAGATCTTCCTCTCCTAACAAACAATTAACAAAATCCAGACAAAAATAAAATAACTATGACAACCCAAGGTCTGAGCTCTGAAGGGGTGTTAGGGGGAGGCAGAGAGGACTGGGAGGTAGCCACAAGATTGAGAGGATGAGAGCTGAGAAATTAAACCACAATTTTTAAAGGAGTATTTTTCAGAAGAGTAACAGAGATATTGCAAATTGTTAGATAACACCATGTTAACACTGTGCACATTTCACACGTATCAAAATGTTAAAGTTATTATACCAGAAAAATAGTATATTATCATGCTAGTAAAACTGCAGCATAATCTAATCTGTACCAATCAATCCCAATTATGTTCACAGGCTCCCCCTCTAACTCAAACAAAGAAATAATATCAGTGACTACCATCAATATCACAAATCAATAAAAATTATGTGTTTGTATAGTTCTTTAGACCCACAGGACTAATATATGCTGCATTCCACATAAGCTGCTCATGAGAACCATTTGACCATGAGAACTGTAGCAGTATGTCTGTGAACTTTCATTTTTCACAATGCTGGTACATTAAAAAGCCACTGAGTAACAGAAGAGTCTATTAACAATGAGTTAAGCACATTATGCAGCAATGAGGTTTTGAAAAATATCTACACATTTACAAAATAAATCGAACTAATTAATAACTTACAACTTGTTTGAAATAACTTCTCATAAGTTAACATATCTGGCTCAGCAGAGAGTCATATTTCTGTACTTCATTTCCATGTGTATTTTTAACTCCACAGATACCCCTGATGCATTGAGTTACACCAAGCAACCCTAGTGCACACAGATGTAATCATTTTGCACTGCTTACACCTTTTTATTGAAATAACAAAAAAAGGCAAGCTGTAGTGGTTATGGAAAAACACTGTACAGTGTCACCCTGGTTCCCAAAATACACGATGGGCCATCCACTATAAAGGCATTAGCCAGAACAGGTCAGGAGAAAGCACATTGTTTTTAAGGCTGATGCAAAACCTGTGGAAGCAGACTCCGGTAATCCTTTGTTAAGAACAGTATCGTAGCCTTCAAAAGAGGCATATTTTAATGCAATAGTTCATCTGTAAGAAAAATAATTTCCTGCACAAAGTACAAAATTATAGTTACAGAGAAAAGAGCACCAATAAAAATTCAATTATGGACACATATATATTTATAACCAAACATATTTCACATAATGAAATAAAAAATTTCTACATTTATCAGAAAATAAACATTATTATTACACTAGAGAAATGTAAGAAAAGGTGAAAAAATAAATACAGCCATGTTTAAACATTGTTATCAACCCATACTAATGCCAGAATTAAAAGACTGATTTAAATGCCATACCCTTTTCTCCAGAGTTATTGGAATAACTGCAGGCAATGTTACTCTTCTGGAAGACAAATTCATGTCTGCTTTTCGCAGAACTTGCCAACCTTCATCCAGGTGATAACACAAAGCAGAACAAAGTAGTTAGCAATATTTCTTGAAACCTAATTCCTCATAACCTAAATATTGGAGAGTCAGCACAAAGACTAAGGCTCTAGTAAATGTCATTCCATTTATGTGAATTCAGTCCTACTCAAAGCCAATGACAGAACACACTGGGGTAGGACAAAATAGAAATCAACCAACCAAAGAGCTTGAAAACTTGTGTTCTGTCCTTGGAAATGCCCACATTATCTCTGGCTATAAAAATAAGCAGAACAACATGCATTTCTATCATTCAGAGCTTTGTCTTCCCTGTCAAAACAAAACCAAATCATTAAAGACTGCATTCTAACACCTCACACTGAGTGGTTACAGTCCTGGGGCTTTTTCTCTGGCTTTTTCCAGGGAAACAAAATATTTTTCAGTGCTTCTGATCTTTGAGTTTCAGAGAAGTAACTGAGCATAAGAATAGATTTAATGAATCCATGGAGTTTAATTATATGATTCTTAACTACCTTTATTCAAAGCAGAAGCAAAACATCCCTTTTACTTTAAGTAAAGCAATTACTACCTTTCCAATGCAACCAAGGCTTGAAAAAGTGACACATAAAATGTTACAAGGAGTGACATTTAAGACTGTTTTATGAACCCAAGTTTTTGATCACACCCATCCACATAATTATTTTATGTATCAAATACATGCATAAAAATCTGTTTTCATTAGCATGGTTTGACAAAGGAAATCTGGGGTTTTTCTTTCCTTCTTTGTCAAAAAAGGCAACACTTTGTATTGCTTAAACTATAAGGCAAGCTATAAATTTTTTAAAGGTCTTATAAAGCACTTAATAACAGATTTTTTTTCCTGCTTTTATGCAGCATGACTAAGCAATATTCCTGTTGTAAACCAAATTATTAAACAGATGTTAGAACTGTGATATTGGGTATTTCTTTTATAACTCTTGACCAAGCAGTTCTTATCAGAAATACTGCTATTTGTAGCTGAAGGTTGCAGACATTTTTAAAAAATTATTTGTATTAAGTATTCATAGCTTCTTGAACAACAGTATGTCAGATATGCAGGCTGCTGTATTTCATAGGTAGTCACTGCAAGTATATTATTGATCATACACCTGATGTACAGGTCCTAAAAGTATTCAGGACTGACTTGGTAAATATTACAATAATCCATACTAAATTTCTCTAGAACATATTTATAGGGGTTTTTTTTTCCCCAGGGGAAATGAGCACACTCTGTATGAATCCCAAAGTATCTAGAAAGGAATCTCATCTCCAAGACATAAGAAACTGTACAATGACAAGTTAAAAATAAACGATTTTATTTTATGGGATTTTCTTATTTAAGAGTTTTCCAGGTGGCAAGTACATAACAAATCTCTGGCACCACTGAGATACTTCAGAATCTATGAATCTTTTAGTGTGAAAAGAGATTCAAAGCATCTCTTTTCATGCTAAATCACCTTTCTCAAATCCTAAAATCAGTAGTATTGAAGTTCTGTTGATGAACAAGAGGAGCAAACACCATAAATACAAAAAATACAGTTCCCTCCAAAAACTAAAACCTGCATTGCATTGGCATTTTACCAGCAGCTCTCAAATAGTAATAAAATACTGCCAAGGAATAGGAAGTAAAGATAAATATTTTCCTAAAATTTCAAAACCTGTTGTCCTTGATTGAGACACACAGGATGGAAAAAAACTGATAAGAAACTTATGCCAAGTCACAAAGAGAATTTCTTTAGAGACAGACATTTGATCCTCGTTGTTAGCTTTAAAACAGGAGCTTCTAATAAAACCAGAAACCAATTAAAATACAGCATTATTATCAAACAACCCATTTCCTTGCCTCGTAATAAAGGTTCACTTTTAACTTTGACTCTTTTTACATTCCGTTTATAGCAGCAAGAGATCCATAGGAACTAATCTTGCAGGTTTAAGGTATTTATTTCATTTTATTTTTGTCCAACTTCAGTCCAAAGTCTTTATGATTGTTTTTGATAAAATAAAAGGTACTTCTGAGATCAAGTTTAAAGTGTTAATTACGTAACAGTTGGAATTAACATCCTTTTCTATTAGAGATAGCTATGATAAATGTCAAGTGTTTGCAATTAGGTTTTTACCTTTTAGGCAGACAGTTTTTATTTCCTGTGGGAGCATGTTTTCAAAATTCTGTAATATAGCTCCAAAATTTTGCTGTAAGAGCCAGAAAAAAACTTGTGGCACCAGAGCTCGATCCCACAGGCGTTTTACTCAAGGAATATTAGACATGCACATAATTGCAGCACAAAAAACTCCCTCTATTCTTTTTCCCTTGGATCTTATGAAAAAAATGTTTAGGTAATAGCAACTGTAGAACTTGCAGAATTCCATTAGTGACATCACCAGGAAAGAAACAAAAATAGCCCAAGCCATTTTTCCTTATCCCTGGGTACTGAAGGTCCTTGGCTCTTAAAAGCATGTGCAGCTTTTTGCTCTATGAATAAAATTGACCCATTTGTCTGCAAGGTGAAGCAAAGGCTCATTTTCTTCAGTGAAATTATCTGTATTGTATCTTTTCCAATCAGATGAACTGACCAGACCAATTCAGAAAGTAACCAAAAATTCAAGTGTTGTATTTGACTTAGTAATAAAAATCCAATATTCAAATAATGATTAGGTTTTATAAAAAAATATTACAGTAATTTATGTATACTAGTGAAAGTAAACATGGTTGCACCCAAGAGTACTGAAAATAGCGTTAAGAAATATTTCCTTTTTTTAGAGTTCACAAACACACATTTAAGAAAATAAATGGAATAAAACACAACTTCTAAGTGCAAGCCTTGCAGAATCACTTCACCATGTGAAAGTCAAGAGGAGTTCTGTTGATAAATGTGAGATACAGAAAGGCTCTGAAAGCCAAATATGCCTTCAGGGGAACATATATGACCACTTTATTTTTTTTCCTATAGATAAAAGATTTTACTTGTCCATGGCAGGTGTGCAAGGAATTTTGCTGGTGCTAGTGGACAGGAAGGAAATCAGATCCAGCTCACTTGCTGAAATGACTATGTTTATGCAGCTTTTCACTCCTATTTTTGTCACTAAGCTACCAGATACAGTTGTGAAAACATTGTGCAGATACTTTTCAGGTACTTCAAAATACAAACCACTTCTATTTCTTGCCACTTAAGAAATCGTGACTAAATGGAGTGGGCAAGAATTGAAATGCCCTTAGTAAATTCGTAACTCCAATAAGGGTTTTATAACAACATATGGAATAGAGATACCCTGCTAGAAGAGGAAGGTCAGTGATGTCCTTAAGGCATTGAATATGGAGTCACAAGAGCTGATCTATTCCTAGCTTGGCCAGATACAATGCAGGAATGCGAACATTTATAGGTAACAAGAGCAAATCAGACTCAGCTTTTGCTCTGTAGATGAAAAAGAAAAATCTAGATAATATAAATCGAGTAAGGTTTATAAAAATTTTTGATGCTATTTTTTGTACTTGTCTTTGAGCTAAGGCAGAAGTTTATTACACAAGATCAAGATAAATCAGGTAAGTTATTCTTGCTGCTATTTGCCCTTCCTTGTGACAGCTCCTGTCTGCCTGGCACAGTCATTTTGTCTCTTTACCAGAAGAGCCCTTTAATATGTGACCATAGAAACACACACAGCGTGGTTTTAGCACAGGTACATTTACCTGCACTTGACAAATAACTACCTACTTTAACACCACCCAACAAAAGAGAGGTTTCAAAGTGATTGAGTTGTTGTTTTTCTACTCATATAGTCCCTTACACAAAGAAACTAACAGGTCTTATTCTTCACACAGAGCATACAGTACACCCTCTTGGAGGGTCAATAAGGATTGGAGCAGATGCAGTTGCACTAAAACAGACTGTATTACCTGTAAAGCAATACAGACATTACAATGTACCTAGGAAATTCACAAAAAACTTTGAGCCACAAGGAACATAATGAAGTTTTCCAGCCTTGCCAATTTTCCTCACAAACTGGGAGGATCTTAAACCACTGTTACACATCAGCTGCCTATTTTTGTGTCAATAGGTTCAAGCCTAATAGAAAAGCACACTGATGAAGTTCTGTCAGCTGAGTTACTTAAGAAAACCCTCGTATTGCATGGGCTTCCCTTTCACTACATAGCAGTGAATTCTAGCAATTATGAGAATAAATTCTTGCAAACTTCCAGCCTGTTTCTCAACAGCTGATACCATTTCTGAGCCGTTATCAAGAGCTTGCAGCTGTTCATAAACACCAAGTCTTAATGTAATCAGTAACAGGAGTTATCATAACATAACTAATATAAAAAAGGCTATTTATAGCCCAAGAATGCAGTAATTGAAAAATCCCATTCTGATCACAGTACAATCTTGTGTATATTGATTTCTTGTGGATATAATGTCAAGCAAAGAAGCTAAAATACAGACCTACCAGTATGCAGTATAAGCATATCAGAAACAGGCAGGAACACCTCATCAGTATCCTAATTAGAAGCACAGGGACATATCTAAGATAACCGATATATGTTTCTCTCTTGAGACTTAAGTATTAAATATCATGTACACTATTGGGCTAAAATATGAGCTGATTAGCTGCAAATGAATGTTCTGTGACTTGAAACAGGAGAAAAGCAACTTCACATTGTTACTAGAGCAGAGGTCTAATTTATTCTCCATCTTAACTTCTCCTCCCACAACTGCCCTTCTTGAAAGATTTTTGTTGGCCTGATTAGCAATTTTTTTTTAATCTTCCCATTTGAGGTGACTCCCATCAGGACTATAACATGAGAGGCATGCTTAAATACTCTGGCTTGATATTCTCCCTTTCTGTTTATTCCCAAATCAAAAGCAGTCATAAAAGTGTGAATGCCTTTAGAAGTAGCAGCTTTAAATATGCTGTAGACAAACACAGAGAACATGGGCATTGGTCAACTGCTATCTCCCACTGATCATTGCCAAATTTCACCACTTGCTAGAGATACAAGTGCCATCTTCTTAGGAGGAATAAGCAACTGCTGGAAAAGTTTGGAAACTCTGAGACCTGAAATCCCCAGCTGGCAGCTCTATCAGTTACTGCCTCTGCACACGCACAAGAAGAGATCAGCATGAAATGTCCACAACAGGGTGCCCTCCCACTGCCTGGCTATTGGTGTTCCTGTTATACAAGCACTAACAGACTGCTGTTATCCTAAAGACACTCATCTAAGTGATCTGCAGATGTTAAAACACAGATATAAGCTGTCCTCTACTACACGGTGTGGTAAGAAAGGAGAGAGATCTCAGGGTTATTGCCAGTTCCTATACATTTTGTTAGGCAAGGGAATGGTATCAGCAGCGCCTGAAAAAAATGAGGAGTCCTTTTCCTGTCCTAACAGTGACATCTGCAATTGATCCATTTAGTTTCATCTCTTAATTACACTGGCACAGCGTAAAGATTACCACTGCAAAGAGTTAAAAAGAGCATGGAGCAAAAATCATGGGGGAACAACCATACTGTATTAGAGACTCTGGAATTATCATGTGAAAGAACAACTAAGTTATCAGTTATCTATTGTAAACAGATACAAGAAAATATGAATGTATAAAGGGCATTAAATTATTTTAACCATCACAAATATTCAATATCTCGTGAAAACTGACCAGGTTAACAGTGGTGTTTATATGGAGGCATGGGGGTTTTTCAATATAAAATCTAAATTATGCTTAATGTGTCAACATTTATGCACAAAGCAGGATGGGAACAAGCTTCTGCTTGTTTCTATAGTTCTCAAGCTCTTATTTGAAAAGATAATAACTCTGAGAACATCAGAAATGCAGCAATCCGAGGATATGCTAAAAACTGCATCAAAACTCCTAGGAAAAACTGATCTGAATTTGAGCTCCATTCTTCAGTTAATACCCCAACAGTGGAATAACAAAGTTTTATGATGATAAAATCATGAAAATTCAATCTTACATACTTTTTAGTACTGTAAAATGTATAGTGAAGTACCTTGTATTTTCTCCTTCTGTTGTACACCTTTGCATTCATGAGCTGTTTAAGTTGGTTCTGTAAAAAATGTTTTTAACTGTTAATCTATAAACTGGTTGGAAGGACTTTTTCCTTTCCCTTCTGACTTTAAAATCCTAAGGGTTTTTTGTGTAATTTAAGGGAAAGCCATGGGGAACACTAATATATGTTTAGAGGCTGTAAAGAAGAAAATATTTGAGAACTTATAAAGGAGGATATGTGCAATTGTCTCCAGCTTGGAAGGAAATCTGGTAAGAAACACACAGACTGGAATTACAGAGTAAATTCAAGTAATGCCTCTTTTGGTTGGAAAAGATGTTGCAACCCTTGGAAATTGATTAGAAATTTATGAATCATTGCATTTCAAATAAAAACCCTTTTATTGTTTTACTGTTTGAAAGTCAAGAGTAAACAGATATTTCAGACAAAAAATCTGTCACAAAAACATTTAAGCACTGAAGACTTAGCCAGGTATGTCTGCTAGTAGAATTATATGCAGTTTTGAAGAATGAGGCTCCAAGCAGATACATTAGAAGACCCTGAATTATAGCTGTAAAAAAAAAAAATAAATGGTGCTCCAATTACAACAGTGAATGCTCAATATTATTCATAAACTTAGAACAGTACACATTTTTTTAAAAAAATCTGTTCTTAAACATAAAGTTCCTGTTAGCTCTTCTTTGGCAAAGAGCTTTACATGAAAATCTATATGAACACAAAAAGGACTACAATCACATGTATTTGAGGTCTCACACAACTGATTTCCTGGAAAGAGTATTGTGGGAGTATATTTAGATTCTACATGATAAAAATATCTACTTGTTTAGAACATCAAGAAAGACAAAAGAGGCAAGGTAAAAATTCAGATTTTTTTTCACCTTGAGATTTACTCGAGTTTTATTTTTGCACTTCTAATTTAATTTAAAGAAACAAGGCACTAATTACCTTGAACTACTTTTGTCATGAACACTTTTTTGCTTATCCTTGAGCAGGGCAAGAACTGATACTGCAGTGCAAATATTCAGGTTTTGGTTCCAGAAAGCAAAAAAAAAACCACTAAGCTTCCATAAAACTACAGTAACTTCTTTGTTCATTTGAGCAAAGACAACAAGAACAGAACAAGTTTTCTTACAATTAATACTTTTCTCTACTAATATTTATTTTGATCACAATTAAAGACAAAAGTGCAGTGTTTTATATTTTCAGTTCCTTGTAATTTCTTAGAGAACACAGGCTCTGAGGCACAATTACTTTTTCCATATGAGTTCTTGAATTCCACCTAATAGCAGCAGATGCTTGATTTCTCAGAGGAAGGCAACATTTCCCACCATCCACCAAACTGACCATACTGTGTTGGACATGAAGGGAAAGATGTTTTTTTGACCTATTCAGATAAAAGTCTTCCACCCTGAAACATGAAATTCAGTTAATCTGAACACATTTCATAGAATCAGAGAATCACCAGGTTTGGAAGATACCTTTACAGTCATCCAGTCCAACTGTCAACCACTGGGTCGTGGTCAGCTGCTGTCAGCCGGCACCTCAAGGACCTTTTCTGCTGGGCCACTTTCCAGCCACCCTGCCCCCAGCCTGTAGCCCTGCATGGGGCTGTGGTGGCCAGTTTGTAGGACTCAGCAGTTGGTCATGTTGGACCTCATGCCCCTGGTCTGGCCCATCGATCCAGCCTGGCCAGGTCCCTCTGTGGGGCCTTCCCGCCCTCCAGCAGATCAAAATCTGACCCAACTTCCCATGGTCTTCGAATTTGCTAATGGTAGGCTCAGTCCCCTCTTTCAGATCATCAGTAAAGGTGTTAAACAAGACTAGACCCAACACTCTTCCCTGAGGGACATTTCTAGTGATCAGACACCCACTGGATGCAGCACCACAATTCACCCTCACTCTCTGGGCCTGGCCATGCAGGCAGTTCTCAACCCAGGGAAGAGTGCATTTGTCCAAGCTGTGGGCTGCCAGCTTTTCTGCATTTTATTGGTGAAAGGGTTGTTAAGCACTGGAACAGACTGTCCAGGGAGGTGGTAGAGTCACCATCCCTGGCAGTATTCAAGACACTTATGGACATGGCGCTTAGTGCTGTTAATTGAACATGGTGATGTTCAGTCAAAGGTTGGACCCAACAATCTTGGGGGTCTTTTCCAAACTTCATGATTCTGTGATTCAAACATATAACACAAAACTCTTTCAAACTGCAAGGGGAGAAAAGAGATGGACAGCTGTGTTGGTGAGGCAGACCAAATAATGTTCGGGGATGTAAGACATACCACTTCCCAAGCACAGAGGCAAATCACTATTCTGCTATGTGGCTTTTACCAATCTGCTTTTATAAACTTATTTTCAGTGAGTCAACCCCACAAACATGCTGTTCAAGCAGCATGTTCAATGTTTTGAGAGGCTTATGATAAAAGATCATCAGAAGACAGTAAGAATTTCAGCTTAGAAAAACAAGAATTCAAAATAATGTTAATAATCTATTTTGAAGTAGAAAGATTTCAGATGTCACAGGTGCTATGAATAAAAGAGCAGATATTCATGACAATTTCTTTCTTCTACAGAAGCAGAAAATCTTTTTTGGAGAGAAAAACAAGACAGAAGAGGCATAATTTCTTTTTTTTTTTTTTTTTCTCTTTTAGAAGCACCCATTTTGATAATAGTTACCTACAAGACATAAGTAGAAATTCACTCTGCAATTTTCCTACCCTATGCTTGAACTTAAATGCACAGACTAAATCAAAAGCAAGCAATCTAAAAGAAGAATCACTGAAAACATATGTAGATCATCAGAGGAGAAAGAATTCTGGCAGCTGTCAACGCTATGCACAAAAAAAAATTCTTAAGAGTAGCTGGTTTCTCTTAAGAGTTAGTGAACTACCAAACTGTAACAGTAATATTTACAAAATTTTTGTATAGAGATATGTATTTGCACGCAGAGCTGCTATGAAGTTGACAAAATAAGGACAGGGAGTGGAAACACAACAATTTCCAAGCACAGCTCCACAGCCACCTGTGAGAAGTCAAAGTCACTGCCAGTTCACTTCTATTTGCACACCTGCTCAGCATTCCCTCTCTTTTAAACCTGAGTAAATTTTTTAATCCATTAGAAGACTTCAACCAGAATTTCAAAGAAAAAAGTTTAATTTGGCCATTGTCATTTGGCCTTAACTTTAATAATTTTAGATGAAGAATGTAACAACAGTCATGCTGAGTCTGAAAAATAGTCAGATGGTCCACTTGGCCTAGTATCATTTCTCCTGCAGTGGCCATAAACAGACACCTAGGTGACAGAAACCATAGTCTTGTTAAAATGCCTCCACAAAAGTAACAGGAATGTTTCTCTCCATTTTTCTGGTAGCTGAAAAACAGGTCAGGCCCTCCAACAGACACCAGCATTATGTTAGCTCATTTCTGTCAGGAAACCAGTTGTTCTTGTTCTTGCTTTTACCAGAAGGAGCACTACATTCTTAAATGTAGTGAAATCCAGGAGAAATGGAAGGACTGTGAGCAGAAATCATCACAAGAAGTACAAATGAACCTTTAGGAAGAAGTAGAAGTAACATCAGTGAAGATACGAACTTCAACTTCTGAAAGACTGAAGCTAACACTTAGCTGGTTTAACCCATCAAGCCTTCAGTAATGTTAAATATGACTGGCCACAAGAGCAGGTGACCTTTGTGTGTTAAATCATGCTTCCCAGGTTCAAGTCCAAAGACTACCACAACGACTGCAATTTAGGCCTGCAACATGACTAATTTAAACTATCTTTTTAAAAATGTGACTTTTACTCCTTTAGTTCTGAAAGATAATATTACCAATTCTGTGTTTTTCCTGTCTCTGCAGAGATAGTCAGTACTTCCACCTGGCCCAAGAAGATGGAACTAGAACAGTTCTATCCACTGCGTTAGCAACATTCAGATGTACACTGGCCAGAATGCATCAGATTAGTATGGCTATTGTAGGAGAAGTACTAAAAACAATAAAAGTAGTCCAGAAAGACACCACAGTTTATAGAGAGACACCATGGTGGACATGCAAAACAGGGCAAGATCGAATCAGGGCAGTTTCCCAGACACATACATGTTTTTCACTGGAGAAGTGAGGAGAAGGTTCCTCCTTAAGGCCCTAGCCACAACTTGGCTAAAAAAGTTCTCTGGCAGGTACACAGAAACAGCTGTGGCAGGTTAGTTTCAGAAAAGTTAATACAACTACAAGAAACTTCAACTTCCAGGTGTATTCTTCATGCAAATCTAAAAATGGTATAACCAGCAGCAGGTTAAGTTCTTACACCTCCAGTTCTTAAAACTGTTAAAACAGGGATTATACAGACCACCAAAACAGAGTGTGAAGGAGGGAGTAATCTTAATCCCACAGATGTTCTTTGTCAGAACTCTTTCCAGTCCCAAGAAGAGAAGAGAGAATGAAACAGGTAAGCTTTCAAAGAGTGAAACTGATCTTCGACACCAGTAATCTCCATTAACTGGAAACTGTCTGATCAGTACTGCCAGGTCTTTCTGACCACTCAGATCTTCCCATGGCTTACAGTTGAAGGTCTTTATGGAAATATAGTAACATCAGCCATACACAGATAAACACATATGCATATAACATATAGCCAGGTACATAGCATCTGCTCCTTCCCCAACTATTTAGGTTTTTCCCATTATCCTGGCAAAATTAGAACTTCAGAAAAGCTGTTCAGTGGCTGTTAAAACCCTCTGTTCTGTAACACTGATGACAGTGATTTAAGGTAGGGAGGAAGGGAAAAAAGATATTAACTTCTCATTTAAGTACTGCCTGCCTGCCTCTGGTTTCACTTAAACTGAAAAATCTGCAAAGCCACACAAATACTCTGTGAAAGAAGAGTCATGTCTTAAGTCACAAATTCCAAAACCTCATTTTCTACAATCATTGATGACCTACAGAAAAAAAATTCACCAAATTACAGAAATATGAACACCTCTATTTTATAAAATAATTTAATAGGTAACTGAGCTTTTCCTCAACCTTTCATTTAACCAATTTAGAAACTGTCAAACAATAATTTATAAATCTTACCTGCTTTTTTCTTGAAGTTGCCTTGGGCAACAGACTGGCTGAAAAAACTGATGCAAACGGCGAGCAACACAGCTCAGGAAAAGGATTTGGAATCGATGGCTTCTCCAAAATACTGTCACCTTTCTTTTTTCTCCTATTTCAACAGAAATACATAATATCAAGCAGTAATTGTAACAGCTGCTGTTAAAATTGCAATATCCAACCACAATACATGAACTACTAAGGCACTAATACCATGATGCTTCCTGGTTGCAGCAGTTAGCTTTTTTTTTTGCAGTTATTTTATTAAATCAGTAGGCTGAATATATTAACATACAGTGCCTAACACTACTTGAAAGCAATCCAAGTATTCAGCTCTGAATATAAAGTTGTTTGAATATGTGTAAGTCTTTGCAGAGTAAGAGCAGAGATATATTTATATTGGCTTCTAAGGACATTAGTAAATATTTTGTTGTCCCTGTGTTTATGCCATTCCCTGTGTACACATATTACAACAGTAGATGCATGTAACTTCTCAGCAAAACTTTCCAAGTATATCACAACAGCATTTTAAACAAATGGAAACTTTTTTTTAACCAGAATCGAATCAAAGTGACTGACAGGAGAAAACAGTGCAAAGCAATCTATTCATTTCTGTTTTTAGTTAGTTTTGTATTGGCATCTCTGCAGCTCCATCATAAAATAAATGTCTCAGTTGTTGCTGTCTGCTGAAACAGGACTGTGTCAGAAGTACCACCAGGCACCATTTGCAGGAGTAGGGAAGGTAATCACTACTGTACTTGCCTAAGAATTCAGGTATGCACCGGTTTAAAGTATCACATTAATAATGTGGTTGTTTAGATGGCTGTGTACATTACAGTGCATAGTTTTCTCACATAAAATATTGAAGAGCACTTTGTCTACTTGATTTCAGCTGAAAACCTGCACCCAAAGCACCTGATGGATTTGCATCTGCCAACATATTACAAGAGTTTTCTACATGTGTGAGTTAATGCCCCCAAGCTTCATATTTTACTTTATCACCTTCTTTATTATCATTCCAGATTTCATATTGTAATTAGTACAAAGTGGGGAAAACCATCAGAGTAAGGTAACAATACAAAATGAAGATACTTCACTTACAGAAAATCCTTACCAAACTGGTGAGGATTCATTTAAAGTGGTATTTTGCTTTAGGAGGAACAAAACCCCTGTAATGCAGTATTTTAAGATTTTGTAAACTTCAGTCTACCGAAACTCATCAGATGCGGTATGAAAAACCCAGATTTACTAAGAATGGAGACCAATGCCTTTAAGAACAGTCTGAGAGGCACCAAACGGGCTGCACACCGCTGACAGCGGCACTGCTCCCGGCGAAGCGGTTTCATCTCACCAACACTCTGAGAAAGGCACTGCAAGGATAAAGTAGCTGCTGGCTCAGCCTGACCAGGCGGGCTCGGCACTGCCGGCTCCTTTCACCTCAGGCTAAGAAACCTCAAAAATAAAAAAGGGGGTGGGGGGTGGGACACGCACGCATCCGCAGCGGCGGAAAGTGTCTGCAAGGTCGGCGAACAACTTTTGAGCTCCAGGGAAGCGCGGGCCGGTCAGAGGCAGGCCGCCCCCTCCTCGCCTCGCCCCCTCCCCAGGCCGCCGCTCCCCGGCCCCGCCGGCGCCGCGTCCCGCCCGCAGGGCGCTGCCCGCCCCCCGACGGCAGCGGGCGGCCCTCGAGGGAGCGGCGGGGCGGCGGTGCCCGCCCCGCTCCGGCCTTACCTGTCGGGGGGCGAGGGCGGCGGGTCTCCCCCGGGGGGCCGGGGGGGCGGGCGGGGAGAGCCGCGGGGGCCGCCGCCAGCGGGCTCCGCCGCCCGCCCTGCGCCGGGCGCACCGGGCAGCGGGGCGGCCATCGGCGGCGGCGACGTCCTGGCGGGGTGGCACGGCGGCGAGCGGCCCCGGCGCTGCCGGGCGGAGGCTGCTCTCGCTCCCGCTGCGGAGGAGGGGGAGGCGACGGGGAGCGGGGGGAAGCGCCGCCCGGGCGGCACCGAGCGCCTTCCCCGGCACACGTGCGAGGGCGGCGGCGGCGGCGGGGGCGGGCGGCCGCCGGCTCCGCGCTGCGACGGGGAGGCAGCGCGGGGCGGGCGGGGGCCGAGCGGTGCCCTTCGGCCGCTCCGCCAGGCCGGGCGGCGGCGCGGAGCGGGCTCGGCAGGTGCGCGGGCCCGGGACCCGAGGCCGCGGCGGGACCCGGTAGGGCCCCGCTGAGCGGGCCCGGCCCGGGGCACCGCTCGCCCTGCGCCTCTGCGCCTCCGCCCGAGGGGGCAGCGCGGCCCTGGCACGGCCCCTGAGCTCCTGCCCCGCGCCGGGCAGCGGCTCCAGCCGCGCTCCGCCGGACGGGCCTGACACGCGGCTCAGCGCCCGGCACACCTTTAACTGAACCCACACATCCCTCTGCGCATCGGGATCTGATGGACATGCCTTAGAGGAATAAGGAATGACCGAGGCTGGGGGACAGAGCCGTCACCTTGTGCCACAAAAGCGGTTAGTGAGGAGGCTGGGCCCAGCAGCCACGTCCAGCCACAGCCTGGAGCACAGTGGAATGTGATAAGATTTTCCCTTGTGCCCAGGGCTGCTCCACAGCAGCCTGCTCCTGCTCTGCTTTATGTACACAAATCCATCTGTGGCAATTCCATGGCTGTCCTTATCAGCATTCATCCAAATTCAAAATAAAAAAAAAAACCTTGCTGTATGAAGAACAGTTTGATGGCACCAAGCAGAGTGGGTAGTACTGTTTAGGTCAGTCAGTTCGATAGTCAAAAACTGAAAGCCCTTGGTGAAGACAGCACCATGTAGAAACGTTCTGACATGTCCTTGGCATGATCAGGGGCAGTAACTGAGATGTGAGACTGGTAAAAATATATAATGTTTTGAGGCAAATCCTTTGCTGTTTTCCTGAATCCGCTGAAAAAAATCATCACACACAAGACAAGATTTCAATTCTGGAGAAAGATTTTTGTGCCATAGAAGCGATAGTCACAGTTTTCATTTCGGCTGAGTCACAGATGATTTTGCAGGACATTCATTTTCAATGAAATGAAGGATTTCTTGTCCCCTGAATAGCTCATTCTGTTACAGCAGAAGTTGAAGTCTGAGTTGATTAACAGTTCATATATACAAAGTCTGGCAAATATACCAGGAATTCAGATAATTGACTGGATTTGCTCGTTGCTTGTGAACAGCTGTCCTTTTACAAAACTGCAGAGACCAGGGCACTGGGGTTTTTTGCCTAATTGATTCACAGGTATAACTGTGACATGTTAAACCTCATTGGCTTCAGAACAATAGAAGGCAGGAAAAATAGTATATGTGGGTAGAAAGAGATAAAAACCTGCAAGTGGCAATTGTATGCTGATATTCATCAGCATTTAAAAAGTTCAGCCACAAAAGAAAATATATTTTGACTTCTCACCTATTCTGTGCAACGTGTTACAGAGCTGCAATCTGACATCCATGGTGTGTTTTTGTGTCTTTGGCTTAGTCATGTAATTGGTTTAAAATACCAGGCAAATAAAACTACACTTAGAATGAATAACAGCAAATAAATTAAATACTTTATTTTTCAAAATAACTTTAGTGGTAATCTAATTAGTCGTGACAGCAGCCATGCCACTTCTGGAAAAAATCAGTAAAAATGTCATGCTAGTATAATTTCACTTGCATGTTGTAAGAAAGATATTATCTTAAATTGTTTTTTTCTATATCTCATAGTCTGTCCTGATGCTTGCTGCTGTCAGTGCTTTCTGTGGGAATTGCATTGCATGAGGGAAATGCAGTCAGTGGAATACTGAGGCACAGAAGGCCTTATGTGATTACTCCAGTGTAGACGTTGGAAATGTTGCATGCATGAGAACGTGAAACTAAAGGTTCTCCTGCCTTACTGTCTCTCTTTGCAAACAACTGTAACAAAAATGGTTTTCTGAGCTTGCCTAAAGATACCCGAGAGCATCTGACCTAGAATCTGCTCAAGTGTAAACTTTTTTAACTCCTACCGGGTAAAAACCCAGTAATTTCTGAACAGTTAATAGAGTTGATATTAAAAGACTGGCAGATTTCTGCTAAGACCCAACACCCAAACATTTGTTGAGCTGTGTGACTTGGTTTCCTTTTCATCATAAATATGCTTAAGCTGCCTAGTGTGGTTCTTGATAATTTCTATGCTTGTGCAGCACAGTTGTTCTTGTTCTAAGATTTACCATTTCCCAATGTCCTGGGGTGGTTATTTGATGCTTGTATCCCCAGTTGTCTGTTCTGTTTATGTTGGATAATAAGTTTTGCAGCTTTAAGACTGGTTCCGAGAGCAAAGGTGGGAAAGAAGACTAAACTAAATTTCTGTGTATTCTTCAGTACTCAACTCAGTAGGATTATTCCCCATCTTTTAATTTTTACCTTTCTTAGTCATAATCACATCCAGGTGTTTATCAAGTAAAATTAAAATATATATTGAGAAAAATTGCAACAGATTCATGCTATTCAGTATGCACCCCACTTCTAGAAAATCAAGCTCTCCAGTTCTCAAAAGCCTCTATGCTATTTAGAATCACAACACTTGATTAATGTGACAAAATTATGCCTTTAATTAGAGTAAACTCAATTATTACTGACAAAGTGGAGGTTCAAAAAATCCAAACTACCTCTGATTATCTTTCAAAACTTTAGAGAATTTTTGGTGACTTTTTTTTTGTCACCCTTCCATACATCCTCCCTTGCTTTTATCAAAATACTCGCAATGTATGTATAATCATTTTATCACAAAAAGCTTCACTGACCTAAGAAAGCTAATATCCTACCTTTCCACCATCTTTTGTTGTAGCTGCAGTAATAGAGAAAGGAATTATTTCTATTTAAGTACTAGTTTGAAGCCACAGAAATAGCTACTTTTTCCAGTGCAAGGCTACAGCCAGGCATGTCTTGTCTCCCTGTACATTTTCTCCAAAAGCCCCCCAAAATAAATTGCACCAGCAGTAATGCTGAGGATCACCCTAAGAAAAAAGTAATTCATTCAGTAAAAAAGGTACGCCTCAATTTATGTGTATTTATTATCTCAATGGACTTAAAATGTGTTGAACAAATGATCCTCAAGGAGCATTCTAGCTCCTTGAGCATTT